GATTCCTGGTACCACAAAAAAAAAAAAGAGAGAGAAGCCCAAGGCTCCACCTGTTGTGGCACTGTAGTAGTACCAACTTCGGGGCATGTCTTACACCCAACTTCTGGCCCACTCGGGTGCTCCTCACCTGCATCCACCCACTCCTGCTATCTTCTCATTTCTGAGGTTTCCAAGTTGTTTTTTCAGGATGAACGGCCTTGAGGCCCTCCCCTCCCTCAATATCTGATACTGGGACTCTGTTTCCTCCAGGGTCCTAGCCCTCAGCTGTTGCCCCTCTGTGAGGTCTGTCTCACAATGTTGCCTCTTCTCAAAGGTATGGGGAGGGACCGTGCCCCGTGTTGCAGGTGGGATCCCTGGGAAGGGGGATTCTGGCTGTTGCCTCCGGGTGCAGGGCAGGAGCTACCCTGAGGCCTGCGCTCTGCGAGAGAGCTGGTGGGTGGGACGAACTCCGTGGTGACGACCCTGGTGGCTGCTGCTTTGTTCTTGTTGTATGTGTGGAGTATTCATGGGGTCTCATGGGCCCCTAAGTTTCTACCCTGCTTTTATCTGGAAACAGCCCCCTCCAAAAAAACCCCTGCTGCACGGCTGACAGGTGGCAGGGGAGAGCGCAAAGCCTGACCCCACAGGAGGGTGCTGACTCACCACGGGCAGCCCCGAGGGGCTGGGGGAGCTCTCCGGGAGTTGCTTCCCCTCTGGCACGTGGCCACCACCTCCCTTACCCACTGCGTGGCCAAAGTTTCCCTCTTCGATCTGTCCTCCTCTCCTGAGTGTACCAATAGTTCCCCCCTTTTTGTTCCACTTATTTCTGAGGTAACTTTTTAATCTCTTTTCTTAGGCTTGGGTGTGGGAGGGAGGGCTGCTGAGTGAGTGAACGCAGCCCGCCATCTTGAAATTCTGAGCTTTGAGGAAAAACTCCCAACGAAGGGCGGTAACTTTTCCTAGGCCGCCGTCACTGGTTCTCTGAATCTGCCTCTTGAATCTGAGTCCAGCCACCTTTCCCTCACACCGGGCTGCCCCTTTGGTTTTGTTTCTCAAGCCCTGAGGCCAAAAAATGCCAGAAATGAGAGCAGGGCTTCAGTGGTCCTGGTTCTCCCACCTCGTGGCAGCCCCCCCGCAGTGCTAACACTCCACACCCTCCGGCAGGATCCTGGCAAGCACCACTCCAGCCCACGCGACCAGCCGGGCAGCTTTCCTGTCCTCCCTTGGCCCACCCTGCCTCTGTGACTCGTACCTCGCCAGACAGCCCCGTTTCACAACTTGTCACAGGAGGGGTTGGCGGAAGGGATGAGTCCAAGCTCCCACACCCAAGGAAGTGTGCCCAGGAGGCCTCTTCCCTGCTGCAGGACCCTCCAGAGATGCAGAACCTCCCTTCACGGCAGGCCAGCCCTCTCTCCTGGATCCAGCAGCCCACTAGTCCAGCTTCAGCTCCGAAGCAAACCAGCAAAGCTCCTCACCATGTGACAGATGCCAAGGACACACCACTTCTTACATCTCTCCGGCCCAAACTCATTTCTTCGAACGTCTGCAATGGTTTCCGAGCCCCTCACAGCCCCGTCCTCCACCTCCTGCCCCATCACGCAAGAACATGAAGCTCAGCCACGCGTGGGACTCGGAGCCCAGGCTGGAGCACCCGAGCCTCGGCCTGCGCACAGACCCGGCCTGGCCGGGCTGCCGTCAGCTGCTGGAAGGCTCCCTCACGAGCACCACTTGCCCCTTCCTGGAAGGGCAGCTGCCCATCGGCCGGAGCCTTTCGCCTCAGCGTTTTGTAGTCTGGACTGCTCACTGGGCCAGGCCCAGGGTGGGGATTACTCTTCCCAGCTTCATGTCTCCCACCAGCAGATTCTGAGAACACCTCCGTGTCTTCCTGAGGCCCAGCTAGGAAGGGGAAGGTGGGCTGACAGGGAGGGAGGGACATGACAGGGCAGCTCTTCCTGGGCTGGCTCAGGGGCCGGGCCCTCTCCCACGGTCTTTCAGTACGGCTTCCCCAGGGCCTGCCGTGCCCTTTCCAGCCCTGCTGTTCCCCTCCACTGTCTGTCCTGGAGACAGGCTCCTGATCCGGGTTTCAGCCTTGATGGTCAGTCACTCACTAAGGTGAAATATGCTAAGTGTTTCCAGTCATGAGGGGGATACCAGCTGCAGGGAGAGGGCACAGGCCAGCAAGCAGTCAGGCACAGACACCCAGCACAAGCACAGAGCCTGGCCCAAAGGGCATGGCAGGCAGGTGGGTTAGCTCTTGAGACCATGATGTTAAATGAAATCAGACACACAATCTTAATCATTGTAGGGTCTCTTTTTTTATTTTGGTCTTTTTGATACAGGGTTTCACTATGTAGTTCAGGCTGGTCCTGAACTCACTATGTAGCCCAGGCTGGCCTTGAACTCACAGCAATCCTCCTGCCTCAGCCTCCTAAGTGCTGGGATTACAGGCGTGCACCACCACACCTGGCTGCATGGTATTTCTTACATGAAAAGCCCAAAATATATAAAAGAACAAAATACAGGATAGTAGGAAACAGGGAGATAGATCTTTTGCAAAAAGGAAGGTCACCAAAGAGATGGGAGAGGGAAGGGGTGACATGCTGGGTACACGTACCAACTCCCCACGAGGAATGCGCTGGTCATGTACCGCAAACTAATAAAAATATCTTTTAAAAGATAATCTCAAAAAAAGAAAGCTACAGCTCCCCAATCCCACCGCCCCCCCATTTTGTTCTGCGGTACTGGGGATTGAAGCCAGGGTCTTTGCACTGAGCTACATCTCCAGGCATTTTTTATTTGAGACAGGGTCTTGCTAACCTGCTGAACTGCCCAGGTGGCGCTTGAACTTGAACTTCTCCTGCCTCAGTGTGCCACAGTGCTGGGGTTACGAGCACGTGCTATCACAGCTAGCTGAAACTATTGGTCAAACGTCACCAATGGCACAAATATAAAAAGAAGGTATAAGTGGATACATTTCTGTTGGAAGACAGAGGTGAATGCATGCATGTTTTTGGCAACATGCTTAATTACATGTATCAGACATGCAGAAGAAAGCTGCTCCTCACAGATGCATACTGACTCAGCACGCCAAGCTGCCACCCCACCCCAGGGCCCTTCTGGACAATCAGCCCCGACTGGGCCAGTGCAGGGCACGGAGAAGAGCCCCCTCTGCTGGCCAGCCTCCCGGAGGCCCTGCACCGCTCTGCTCTCAGGCGGGAGGGGAGTTAGAGGGAGCTGCCCTGAGTGGCCTCTCTCCCAGGCCCGGGCCATTTGCAAGGCTGGGTTCCGGCCCCACACAGGAGCCCAAGGGGAATCTAAGGGCTGTGCCTCCTGCTACACGAAGTGAGACAAGGCAGTTCTCTTGCCCTGAGGATGTGGCTGTGTTCACGACCAGCATTTCACACAGAGCGTGTATCCACAGGCCTCTTGCTCCTGGGGGCCCTCGAAGACACGAGATGGGGAAGGACAGTCTGCCTCCACGCGGTTCCTATCGAGCTGTCCCGCGGCGGGCAGGCCCTTCAGACCCTTCTTTTGCGAGTGGCCCCTGGTCTGGTGCAAGAGCACGCGGAGCCTCCCCCGACTTGTCCAGACAAGAGGGGCCGGCTGGGGAGGGAGCTACACCGCGAGACCCTCACTTGCCAGCAGCGACGCTCGAGCCCCGGCGTGCGCGGCTGTCTCGTGTGCTGCAGACGTCTCCAGGTGAGCTGGCTTCCACTGCTTTCCCGGCCAAGTTACCTCTGCAGCTCTTCTCCCTCTTGGGTCCTACCGAGGGCACACACTCCGCGTACTCTATTCTGAGTCTGAATCTCACCTTGGGCCATGTCCATTCTAACTGGCCACCCGCCTGCCACTCAGCTCAAGTAATACTTTTGGGGATTTCCTGCAATGTCTGGTGGAAGTTTCCCCCACGAACAGCCCCCAAGGAGGACGCCCCAGCCCCTGGGCGCGCTGCCCACACCCGGATGCTGCCCTCCTCCAGCCAGGCTGGCCGCGCACGGCCCCCACCCCCAGGACAGCACGATGAGCCCCTTGCCCGTGAGAGGCGCTTCTGTCTTTAAGAAGACAAATCGACTCGCGAATCTGAAACGACCTTTATTTGTGGTTGGCTCAACGTAAGATGCCATCACCGATCAGCAGAATTATAAAACTGTACAGGGAGTACAAAAATAGACCTTTTAACCTTAGATAATGACCCTCATCTCATCGAGCTTTAAAAATACACATAAAAATACACGTAAAAATCTGGCAGTTTATAAAATATAAAGCTAAAAAGAGGATTTTAGATTCCACAAAGAAGATTGTATCACACAATTAACACACGCTGACACCGAGTAAAACGGCCATCCACAGAGAAGACACAACGGCACATGATTAAAAAAAAAAAAAAAATCACCTAAAAGTTAGCATTTTACCCCAACCAGATTATTCACCCATTCAAGACAAGCCATCCATGCCACGGAAGGATACAGTATGACTCTTCCCTTTCCAGTTTTAAAATAGTCAGGGGTGCTGTCCAAAGCAGATGTGATGTGCTTTTAAGCAAGTGCAAACGGAACTAGATACACTTCGAAGTAAAAATTAAATAAATATAAATAGGTTCAATAAATAGGTCATTGCAAAAAAGAACACTACACGAGGCTCACATGTGAGAACGCCACGGAGCCCACCAGCAACGCCCAGGTGGGCGGGGACTCCCCGGCACAGCTCCAGGGGCCCTGGGAAGCAGCACTGCACCCAGCGGGCGCGGGCACAGGGCGGCCAGGCAGTGGGCTGGCAGCGAGCTGCAGGCTGCGCCCGAGGGAGGCTCGCGGCAGATACATCCGTTCAGGTCTTCCAATGAATACAGACAGGACTGAGGTGTTGAAACAAAAATCAGAGCCAGAGTCATTCAGGGGAAATTACTGCTTCACAAAGACAACAAAAAACAGGAAAAGAACGGATACTTTGGCTTAGAAGATTAACGATCCCACCCCGGAGGGAAGAAGCTGGGCTCCCCGCACAGGATGACTGATGCCCCCTTTCCAGGAAACGCCCAGGCCGGGCCAGTCAGCCCCACCACCGCACCGGGATGAGGGAGACGCCGGGAAACGCGGATGCCAGTTCCAAAACCAGAGAACGCACGGTGAACGCGGTTCCATCCGCTCCCCGCCAGCTCTCCTGACACCTTCTGACCAGTGAGTGATGGAAACAAGGATCCAGTGAATGGAGAAGGGAAACGTGGGCAAAACTACCCTCGGCCACAGTTCAGCTGCTGAACAGAGTGGCGGGGCGGGGAGAGGCCAGCCATGCCCAGGCTGCTTCTGCGGGAGCTCCTCTCAGCAGCCAATTAACTGCTCTCTTACTGCAGTGAGAAGGAACCACCAGTGGTAACAGGATCACCGACCACACACAAAACCACTTCTAGAGCTGGGAGAAAGCGTTTCGCCGGACCACGGCTCAGCGCTGGTCTGTGGCTGAGCAGTGCCGTCTCAGGAAGAGCCCGGTGAGACACAGCTGCCGCACCAAGGGCAGACGTGCACCCGGGCTTCACGCCCAGCCGCCACACGGCCTCGTGACCGATCGGGTGACACCGGTGCTCCTGAAAGTGCAAACGCTTCGGTGCCTAGTGACAGCAGCACTTTTCAACAACTGAAATTAAAGACTCAAGAAGCAACGAGAGAAATTCTGGCACATGGGCCAGAGGGGTTCCATACATGGCTCAAGACAAGACCCACATGAATTCCAGGGCTCTCTGATTCCTAGCGGATGCAATTCAGCACTGTCGTAAAGATGGAGACAACGTACTTCTAAAAAGTTAAACGGCCCTGTAGCTTGAACTAAGAGGTACAGGGTTGCAGAGCTGTTCCGGCCTCTGAAAGACAGCTGCCCCGGATGAGCACAGTGGGAAACTGCAATTCTAGACTCAAACTGGATAGCTAGAGGGCGCCCAAGATGTCTTCAAAACAAATGTCTCCAGGAGAGCTCTTCGGACAAACCGGGACAACTGACAAGTGCCGGGGTCCTGAAGGTGGGCAGAGAGGACGGGCAAGGCGACCTGACCAGGGCCGACAGTCTGGGACGGGGCATTTTAAGGCAGGTGTGCAGACCCCAAACACATGCCCTTCCCCCTGGCTTGGGTTCTTTGTAGCACTCTGCTTATTTGCTGTCGGCCGTCTCACAAGAAGCCTTACAAAAGCGGAGGTCGGCCTCTCCCGCTCCTTGGATGTCCTAGCCCCCTGGGACCTACCACCTCAATGCAGTGAATCCTCAACTAAAATATGCTGAATAAAGGCGTCTGGGAAACATGGATGGTAAGAGGTGAATCTATCTGATGAGCGGAAAAGGAATCTGAGAAAACTGTCTCCAGGCTTTCTAAAAACAGGGAGATGACAACAAACCGGGCCACTAGAAACCACCTGAGCACTTCCTGGGGGGAAAACTCGGCCACAAAAAGCGTGTCAGTCCTGTCAGAGGACACAGGGCACCTCCTTCACCTCCCGACACTCTCCTGGGCTGTCACCCCTCAGAGCCATGCGGCGGGCACTGCAGAAGGCAGAGCTGGCAGAGATGCACCGAAGCAGAGAAAACCAGTCTAGCCACGTCCTGGAAGATGAACCACGCGGTAGGAGATGCCCAGGAAGCCAAGCGAAAGGCTGAGGTTCCAAGGCCTGAGCAGGGTCATTCGTGAGGGTCAAAGATGCAAGCTCATACTGATATTTATGAAAGCAGAACTGAATTCTTCAGAAGCAGAACAATCTTTGGACGAGTGGCCTTGACACAAACAATCCACAAACAATCCTTCTCACAGGAGAAGCAGGAGTGACTCCTATCGATGCCCAAAACTGCCGATGCCACTCTGACTTGGGAACGACGGAAGCGGGACTCAGCTTGCCAGGCCGGATGCAGCGGCCCTCACTGGCCGGAGGAAGCGGACACAGAGCACGTCCTCCCATGCACCCGCTGCATCCTGACCTCTAAGGCTCTCAGGTGGGAAAAGAAGTTCTGACTGAAACTAAATTTTAAAATGATACTCGTTTTAGAGAAAAAAGCATACTGCCTAACTCAGGGAACGTTACTTTGACATTAATACATTTACATAGTGTTGCTAGAATGTTTTACCCTTCACTGTCAGAGAGTTCCACCAGAATACTCTTGAGGGGATGGAGACTTTTGGTACCACGCAAAATAGAAGACACTGTACCCTGCATTTCTTCTTCACAAGTAAGTCCACGTTTAGTTCACGTTAAGTTACTCTGCTAATATAGCATTTTTCAGTGTGATCGAAACACAGCCATTGACATTTGCCAGGAGAAACACAGAAGCTGGCCCACAAAGCCCACAGTGACTCCGGCCTTGGCCCCCAGGCGCCAGGCCCCGACTCCCCGTATGCGTCCGGACCTGCTGGCCGCAGAAGCGGAGCAGCCTAACCCCACCAGCTGGTCAGGACCTTCTCCAGGTGGCCGAGGGGGCTCCCACTCAGTTGCTCCCCCCTCATCCTGAAGACCTGTCCCCTGTGGCCTTTGCTGCCCTCCCCAGTGGCCAGGGAGCTCTTCATCTCCTGCCCCAGCGGCCCAGGACACAACCCGCCACAGATTACCGTTCAACCCGCGCTCTGGGTGAGCGCTGCCTCCAGAACCGAGCACCCTCTTCACCTCCAGGGACCCGCAGACCTGTCTCCTGCCCACCGCCGGCCGGTCCCTACCTTCACGCCTTACGCCACCAGCCTTGCGACCTAAGGAAACGCTGTTATCCGTAAGCTGGGAGGCTCTGGGCACACCTGTGATCAGCGAGGGACCTTTTGCCCGGAACAGCACCTCTGAGCGTCCTCCTCGCCGTCCCTCGCTGCTCGAGCCCACTTCTAGCAAAGGCTGCCCCGCCTGCACCCCAGCAAAGCCAGCCCCAGCATGCAGGCAAAACCTAGCACTCTTCCGCTCCCTTTCTCAAAGGCCCACAGACTGACGTCAGACAGGAATTTTACAGAGACGTTCGTCGGATGAGCTCGTCCAGCAGAGGGTCGGCAGGGCTCCTCTCACGGCCTCTGTGGCCAGCCTGCCTCTGCAGCCATCTCCGAGCTAGAGAGCGGCTTCCAAGGCTGACTTCCTCCTCGCTCCCTGGGGGTCTCGCAGGCCCCATTTCCTGCGGGGAGCATTATCTTCTGCTGGCTGCAGAGGGGGCAGCTCAAGGCACTTGGTTTGGGAGGCCTGGTCTCCCTGCTAAGCTGGCGTGGTGTCAAGCTCCCGACTAGAGACCAGGCCCGCTGTCACAGCTGGGGCCACCAGAACAGAAGCGTCGCCCAGGCTCAGAGGGTGTCCGGAGGCGCTGGGGGCTGGGGCGCCGGGGGCTCGTGGAAGTAGTAGGGCTGGAAGAGTCTCTCGTGGCTGCAGGACTCCATGGCCCGGTAGGTGTGTGAGAGGAGCTGCGGGAAGCGGGACGTGAAGTAGCGCACGAAGTCGTCGGGGAGAGAGCCCAGCGTCTCCTGCACCTCCACAGGCAGCTCCCGGTAGTGGTGCTTCTGCAGACAGGCAGAGAACACAGAGATTAGCCGTTGGGAGAAGGGTGCTAGTACAGCGGAAGATGCCCTGCCTGGCCAGTATACTTCAGTCTCTTAGCTGCCGTGGTAACAGTTCCTGTCCCAATTCCGGTTGCTCTCACCTCTTAAAAAGAGCTGGTCACTGTGACGCACACTGTAGAAACCAAGCCCCATGGACAAGCCGTTCTGCCTCTACCTCCTGCTTGCCTTTCTCGTATAAGCCCTAGACCGCCAGAGATCGGGGCCTGATACTCCGGGGATGATCCCGATCAGTGCCCGTGGGTGTGAACAAATCTGCCTCCAGACCCTGGGTGTCATTTCAGTGTTTCTGCTTGGCGTTGCACTAGCTGCCTTTCTAAAGGGAAAGAGCTCTAGGGGCCCCACCGCGTGCCCCAGTGAGCCTGCCTGCTTCCCTTCTTTCAGGAAGATGCCTCACAGCCAGTAAGGCCCGGCCTGAGCAGAGGCGGAGCTCCACTACCAGAGCAGCGTGTCTAGCAGGGGTGCACAGGCCGAAGAGAGGGTCCTGGCAGCTACACATGGAGCAACATCGCCTGGAACTGAAGCGTGTGTCCCGTGAGCTCGGAGGTCACTTCCGTGCCTGGGGCAGGCCCCCGTCTGCAGGCTGCTTGGTGACAGCACAGACCACCATCACCCCAGGTCCCCCAGAGGACAAGCGGGAAACCCTCCCTGAGTGCCTGCAGACCAGGGAAGTGCCCGAGGCTCCCCTCTGTGTTTGTGTGGCGGCTGTCCGGCAGCTGGAGGGCGTCAGGAAGCACAGGGAGCCCATGAAGGACACAGGCTCAGCGATACTGCTCCCCGGGGCTTAACCCTGCACCCCAACACCCCAAGAGAAAACCCGCACGGGAGCGGAAACAGCCTTTAACTTGTCAGATCCAGCTGAGGCCGCACAGCCGCAGACACGGGGAGCCCAGCAGGAAGAGAAGCTTCCTCGGGAACCGACGAGAGGAGCGGGCGTGCGCCTGGTGGCCCCCTGCCCTTCCGGCAGCCGCAGCCCTTTACCTTGTTTCTCATGGCTCGCAGCAGATCTCTGACAGAGCCACCTTTGTAGGTTCTAAATTTACGCAAATCTAGAAAAACATTAAGGGAGGCAAGGGTTAAACCAGTAACAAATACACTTTTAAACGAGAAGCACCCTTAGGGGCCCAGGGATGAGCAACCGGACTGAAATGGACATCACTGCAAGTGTGGTCATGGGAGCAGATGCCCCGCCTCAGCCCTGAGGGGTGCTCACCTCACACCCCCGGAGCAGGACACTGGAGTTAACCTGCCACCCAAAGAAACACCATCCGACCCCCAGCAGTGTAACCAAGCCCAGGGGTCACCCTGGAGAAACCCTCCAAGCCAAGATGCGGGACACGGAGCCCCCGGGTGGGCCCGCTCCGTCCACTCTTTCCTTAGCACCAGCTGCTCTTTCCAACTTCCTCGCGGGCGTCACAGGCTCACCTGTCTGGAGGGGCACAGTGATGTTCTCCCGCCAGTCCAGCCTCACCACGGCCCGCCCACCCCTCTCCAGCTGCCGCACGATCGGGCCATCCAGGGCTTCCTTTTCTATCCGGTCACTCACGTCCTGGGAAGGAAACAAGGCAACAGATGGCGGCCAGCGCGAGAGACGCTGGGCACAGGAGGACGGCCGCACGAGGTCATGAGTGGTCGCTGCCACGTCACTGGAAAGGGGCTGACGTTCCCCGAGCCCAGGCTGCCGCCCACTCAGAGCTGGGCGTGAGCAGGCCGCGCTCCACCGCCCTAACCCACGACTGTGCCCTGCGGGCAGCTGTGGCCGCTGCTCCCCGGGACAGGCACAGAGACCTGTGCACAGCAGAGACTGCCGCAGAGCGAGGCACGCGGTGCACAGACGTGGACGTATCTGTGGAGGGTCGCCTCCGGGACAGGCTCCACGCCTACAGAGACACAGGTGCGACCGAGATTTGCCCAGGAACCGAAACGAGAGGAAAGAATAAGCCTGAACTGACCAGCATAGTGCGTTTCACTGACTCACTGAGAAGGACCTGCTGCACCCCTAACTCTCAGAGGTCCCCACGCCTCCTCTGAACACTAGGAAAACACAAGAAAGCTGAGCACAGCGGCACGGGCCTAAGTTCAGCATTCTGGGAGGCTGAGGCAGGAGGGAGGAGGGTCGCAAGTTTGCGCCTAGCCTAGGAACTCAGTGATGCAGCAAGATCCTGGCTCAGAAGTGAAAAAAAGCGGGGCTGGGAACGTAGCTCAGTGTGAAGGTCCTGGGTTCTAATTCCCAGTGTCACTGATAGAAAGAGAGAGAGAGAGAGAGACAGAGAAAAAGGAAGGGAGAACATGAAGCTGAGCTGTCCTTTTGAAGAGGAAATTTGGTAGAGTATGGGCTCTGGAGACCACCCACACACACACACACAATTCAGGCCCTTCTCTATGTTTGATTTTCACAAGAACCAGAGGTTCCCTGAATGCCGGCCCCCGCGAGCCACCAGCAGTAAGACGGGCCCCTGGCTGAAGGGACAGGGAGCGATGAGCCCCCCCTTATTACTGCTAAGCAGCCGTAGGAGAATCACAGTCTTGTCTTTCTCTGAAAACAGTGACATCAGACTGGCTGAACTACCTTGCGATGCTGGAGAAAAGCTTTGGCGAGGTGAGACTGTCACCCTGGGCATGTTGGGGACATGTTTCTGGGCTATAAAGCAGTTACATACAGCTAGTTGGCATGGATGGAAGCTAGCTGTAACACATACGACTTAGAGGTACTAATCCTAACCTATGTTCCTTTGTACAACTTTTATTCCAGTTTTATATTTTGCCATCAAGTGACCTAGACCTGAGAAGTGTCACGTTACATCCTTTGCAGCGCTGTGGTTGGTCCTGATGCCACACATTCTCACTGCTGCCTTGGAGAGCAGTATCAACGCCCCCTGCTCCTCCAGACAGTGACAGTCACTTCGGGATGAGCGCTCACCAAGCCCCGCTCTGCCCAGACCCAGCGGAAGCCCTGTCCCATAAGCCTGCTCTGCAGAGCCATGTGCTGGGCGGGAGGCGCCAGGCGAGTTATGCTCAAATCGCCCCATGTAAATCCGAGAAACAGAATCCACAAAGCCACCTGGCAAGGTCACAAAGCCGCAACTGTCCAACCGCCAGAGGAAGCCGCGGTCATTGAGCTCACGCTTTAACTCTGCAGACTCTATCCTAAGCAAAACAAGATCTGACTGTAGACTGGATAGATGCGGAAAAACTCCATACAGGAAATATTTAAATGATGACATTTGGTGCCTGAGATGTGCTTGAAATAATCTGAGGTGGGGAGAGGGCAGAAGTTAGCACTCACTGAAGCGGGGAGATGGGCAATAGGAAGCATCCGGTCTACTTCTGTGTTTATTTGGAAATTCCATAAGACACAGTTTAAAGATTACGGTGGATCCACACCATATACTACAGTCATTAACATTTTAGAACTCTAACATGACAAATCCTTAACATGGTATGTACAGCAGAAAAGGCAGGACACAAAACTGTACACATGGGGCGATCCCTTGGTCACGGGACTGTGGGTCATTAATTTTACTCTCTGTCATTTTCTTCTACATTTCCGAATCCGGAGGACACTGGATGAAGACTCTGGATGGATAAACAGATGTGCGTACCTGAAAGAACTGGAGCTGCTTCTCCACGCTCCAGAAGAAGGGGTGCTTCAGCACGTGCTTCGCCGAGGGCCGCTGCTGGGGATCCATCGCGATCATGTTTTCTATCAACTCACGTGCAATGACATCTTCTGTAAGGGAGAAAAATAAACAGGCAACTCATTATTTTGAACTCAAAGCTACAACGAAATCCCAAACACTTTAGAAAGCTTCACATCCTTTGATGCAGGATTCCATTTACAACTGATTCCAAAAAAATAATTAAGAACTCACGGCTCACTTCAGCTAGTAAGGGGAGTCCTCACTGTGTGCCTTGTGAAGGGGGTTGACAGGAAATACCCAACAGCAGGGGCTTGGGGGGCACTGTGTTCTATGCCTGCAGGTGCTGGACGAGGAGCCATCAAAATGATCCCACAGTTAAATATGCATTGATGCAGACAGACACGCAAGACGACATGAGCCTGCTGTGGTGGGAAGCAGTGTGTGTGGGTTGCCCTCACTCTGTGACTTTGTGCATAGATGTCTAGTAGATCGGTGATCAGAGAACCACATACCAAGGCATTAATAACAGTCATCCTTGCATAATGCGATGACCAGCCTTATGAAAGGCTCACCTGCTTTTCCACAGTGAATAACAAAAATTAACCCATAAGCAAAGCAATAATTTAGTTTTAATTTTTCAAAAGGCAGCACGAGAATATCACGGGACAATTATAACCCAACAATTCCCAAATTCAGGAAACATCTGCACCTGAGCCAGGACAGCATGGACAGAGCCTGTCCATCCCCAGCCCAGCATTAACTGTGTCTGATGACCACGGCCTCTCTCAGAGACCAGTTTATGAAGCACAGCCAAGCTGTCCGCCCATGTGCCAGTACAAAAAGGATCTCATACTATTCAACTCTCATATGGCAAGTTGGAAAGAGGGGGCCTTACCCAGGTCCCATGGTAGTTGGCGCTCCAAAGGGTTACCCTGGCCAGCCTTCCCCCAGCTCCGGCATAAGCTGGCCTTCCTCGGGGCCAGGGGACGCGGCTGGGTGGCAGGGACGCTGGGAGAGCAGAGGCCGCACCAGCCCGGGCCCAGCTACTCACCGTGCTTCTCTGGGTGGAAGCAGTCGAGACTGTAGGCGCCCAGGAGGATGTTGGCCTGCCGCTGCAGGGACTTGCCGAAAGGATGGCTGCCCTCCGAGATGACGTAGTAGAAGACACAGCCTGCAGAGAAGATGTCCACCGTGTAGGTCTGAGAAGAAACACAGGGCATGAGAGGCCTTGAGCAGAGTCCGCACCTCGCTTGTGGCCAGGCAGGGAAAAAGCATGGTGGCCACGTCGGCCCAGAAGGTGTTCTGGGGAACCAGCGGGTGGGTGCGAGGTGCCCAGAGCAGCGAGGGTCCCCTGCAGTGCTGCCCTGGTGGTGGGTCACAGCGGAGGACCAGGGACCTGGGGCCAGCTGCTTAGGAAGCGAGCCCTGGGGAAGCCCTTGGCCATTTCACTCCTCGGCTTCCTCACATGTAAGAGGACAGTGCTGGTTTGTTCCTCATCACCAATGCGCTTACATGAAGATCTGATGTACTGCGTGAAAACAGCCGCGCACAGCAGCACCGGGACCCCAGGACGCTCTCCTGGCTGTCAGGTGTTTTATACCCAAGTGACGGAAAGGTCTCTGAAGGCAGGGACCTTTGTGTGTCTGCTTCCCTGTTGTACCCCCAGGGACCAAAGGGTTAGTAAGTAGACATTTTTCGGTTCAAAAACAGATCTGGAAAGAAAGTTTCTGGAAAGAAACTACCTGGCAAGTTCCCAAGGAGTAGGTTTTGGACACTATCTGCTGATGCCTCTGCCTTATCCTTCAAAATCATTCAGTCTACAGATGCGCTTTGTAAGGAAACATGCAGGTGTGACTTTCAGCTCACACTGTTTAGGGTCTCACAACAGGCCCCAAGCACGGCTAGGGTCCTAATGATGGGTTCTACCTCTTAGATTCCCCACCAGACAACTTGTGAGAAAAAGCTAGAGGCTCACCCCATCCACGCTGATGAAACAAAGCTTTACTGATACGGTACACTCAGCCTCTCGACGGCCTTGTTGGGGAGCAGAGCAAACGTCACCCTCCCAGATAACCCGAACCAAGGGCGTAAGGACAAGCTAGGGTCCCGGCTGGATAGTAACAAACCAGGGGAAGACTAGGTCTTCACATTTTAAACCTGGAACTCTTAGCCGGGGATATAGCTCAGTGGCACAGTACGTGCCTGTCAAGCGCGAGGTTGGAAGTTTGATCCCCAGTACCACAAAGCAAATCAAAAAAACAAACAAAAAAAAAAACACAAAAAAACCAACGTGGAACTCTTAATTCTACCTCGCCAGAACTTTCTGCGGGTGACAGATACGGGACAGGAAGGACACAGCCCCCACAGCTGTGTCCACAGGAGCCCTTACCTGCCTGCCTCACCTCACAGTACCACGCCCTGCTCCCCAAGCTTCCTACAGCCGTGCTGCCTCCCACCCCCGGCACAGGTGACAATGAGGGGACGAGCCACCTTTCCTGCCTGCCAGTTCTCCAAACACATCACTGCCGCTGCTTCTTGTCATTTAAATCCTCTAGAAGGGGATAAAATACGGGTGCCACAAAGTTTGAGGTAAGCTGAATCAACTGGCAAGAATCAATAAAATTGGCTACAAAACTGCTATGGAATTAGGTAAGATAGTACAGTAAGGGACAGGGTTGTAAAGAGTTAAAAACTGATCCAGCTCTCACACTGCTAGGAACCATTCAAAACGTCTGCGCTTCACTCAAGTCACAGAAGTGGCCTGTGAATGTGCTTAATTCAAGAGTAATGAGTAACTCCAATCAGACCCAAATCCAAAGAAAAGACCCTGACCTATAGCCAAAAATTTTTACTGCTGAAAGAACTGTATTACTAGGGCCGGGGATACAGTTCTGCAGCACAAGTGCCCGCCTGGCAAGCATAAGATCATTAGTTCAACTCCCGGTACCCAAAAAAAGAACTACATTACTTGCTTTAAATTAAAGTACAATGTTTAATGCGGGTAAAAAGCTTCTACTGTGTATAACCTGTCAGGACAGCGGATCCCACCCTGATCTGGTTCAGGGAGAACCTGAACAGGTAAGCCTTTAAAAAAAAAAAAAAATCAGTCTCACTAGGTCGTTCAGGCTGGTCTTAAACTCACCATGTAGCCCAGGCTGACCCTGAACTCATGGTGATCCTGCCTCAGCCTCCTGAGTGCTGGGATTACAGGCGTGTGCCACCACCATGCCCAGCAAAGTGAGCCTGTGAATGGCTTCTTGCACCAGTGAGTAAGATACTCAGCCGCAAGTGGGCTCTAGGCCAAAGGATGCCAGAACCAGCTTGAAGAGACTCTTGTTGGCTAAATTTGGAACAACTTGAATATCAGAGGGAGAAAGGGCAAAAGGAAAAAGAACTGATTATGACACTATTTAAAAATCCTTGCTGGGCACAGTGGTGCATACCTGTAATCCCAGCACTCAGGAGGCTGAGGCAAGAGGATCGCCTTGAGTTTGAGACCAGCCTGGGCTATATAGTGAGTTCAATACTAACCTGAATAACACAGCAAGACCCCGTCTTAAAAAAAAAGCCTTGAGTCCACAGTGATTAAAGAGAAGAAGAGGAGGAAGAAGAGGAGAAGGAGGAGGAAGAGCAAATATAAAGAAAGTAAAAATAAAGCTATTTTTTAACCTAAAATATGTCAGCAAATAAATGCAGAAGAAAGTCATTGTACTGAATGTTTCAGGCAAGAATGACAGCCACTGACTGCTACACATTCCACCCAGGGGTCACCCTGTACACGACTTGCTAAAAACAAAGGGGGAAATGAACTTTCTCAGCAGGGAGACAGCTGATCTAATGGACCCAGGTTAGCACCCCCGACAGAGGCACAATAATAAATGGTACAATCTGCCATCATGTGCCTCTTGACGCAGTGACCTGGGATCTATTCTTGCCCCAATCATTTCACTTGAATTTAATCAAGCCAACAGACTTAACTTCTAGTTCGTAAGAAATACAGAGAACAGAGAGAAATGTCAAGCATTATCACAGGAGACAGACAAGCCCAGAATGCAGCATTCTGCAAACCGCCGCCTGGGCTCCAAAATGTCAGCACTGGGGAAAAAGGACATCTCCTTTGTGGACTTAGAGAGAGACAGTCAAGTACAACCTAAGACACGCAGCGGGTCCTGGGACACAAAACCCAGTTGTGCAAAAGGCGTCGAGGGACTAACGGGACACGTGAGTATGCAGTGACTGTCAGGTGAGAGCGGAGACGGTGTCCACTGCTCAGGAAGGATAACGGTACGGGGCGAGGAGACAGGAGCTGCTTGTTCTTAGAGACGCACGCTGCAGGACTTAGGGGTGGAGGGCTGGGATGCCTGCTCCTTGTGTTCTAGGGCTTCAGTGACAGACAGACAAATACATAAAAGATAATGCAAATGCAGCAGAAGTGCCAGCCGACGTTGAGTCTAGGTGGAGGTACGCAGGTCACAATAACAGGCTTTCGGTTTTCGCATGTCTAAAAGGTCTCAAAATAAAAAGCTGCGAAAACAGAAATACATATAAAAACAATGAAACGGGAGGTCTCATCGTCTTATGCACGTCTGATTATCCTAGTTTCCCAAAATAAAGCAGGGGGGTTAAAAGTGATTGCAAGAGCCCAGCCTGGATGGTACATACCTATAATCCTAGCCACTGGGGAAACTGAGGCAGTGGGGCTGCAGGTTCGAGACCAGCCAGGGCAATTTAGTGAGTCCCTCAAAATAAAATAAAAAGGCTAGAGAAGTAACTCAGGGGTAGAGTGCTTGCCTAGCAGCTGAGGCCCTGCTACAAAAGGAAACGTGATCAGAAAAGTAGAGAAAAAAACCAGACAAATTCTCATATTTATCCCCTCTGGGTCTGTATTAGGTCGTATGGGACGTCAGCACAGAAGCTCTTTGTTAAAGGAACGTCTTTTTCCAGCAACGTGCGCCCCGACCCCCAGCCCTGAACGTGAAGGTTCTGACTCCTGAAAACACCGTGGGCCGGTTCTCTGGTCCTCAGAACACGATGCCCGTTACTCACAGGGTTCTCCTTGCAGTCTTCGCTCAGCATCTCTGGGGCGATCCAGCCTTCGGTGCCAGGTACCCCAGAACGGCGGCTAAAACTGTGCCTGCCCACGGCTAACTTCTTGCAGAGGCCGAAGTCGGAGATCATGGCCTTGATCCTGCCGTGTGCGTTGGGCATGGAGAGGAGAATGTTGTGGGGCTTCAGGTCTCTGTGAACTGAGAGAGAACTCCAGCTCCGTATAATGCAGGGGCCGTGCACGCATGACAGCAGGGCCTTGCATCAGCACGCAGGCCACGCTGTCCCAGCAGCCAAGTACTGCACCACAGTTGATCTTCCGAACGAAAACCTCAGTATTCAGGTTTAATTGCAGAGCTGGTACTTTGCAATAAATAAGTGGGTTTTGGGTTGCAGTGTGGGTGTTCTGTCTCTAAATGCTTATGCAGCAACCCTAGCCTCCTACAAGATGGAGTGGGTCCTCGTCAGACTCCCAATATACTTGCTGTCATCTCTAAAGCTCTGATTTTCAGCTACCTAAGATTCTATCTTAAATTCTTATGCCACTGTCAAGAGACCATCTAATGTCCCCTCCCCCCTGCGCTCACTGATGTCGTTGAGCACAGCACTTAGACACCAGGCAGCTGTGGTTACTCCCTGGCCCGGCACAGGGAGCCTCTCACCAATGTTGAGCGAGTGGAGATGCGCCAGGCCTGAGGTGGTCTGCTGCAGCAAGGCGATGGGCTCCAGGCCGAGGTGGGCGAAGTCCTTCTGCTCCACATACTGCAAGGGACACGACGGCCAGGTCAGGGCATGCAGCCCTCAGGATTTCTCGGCTCCTGAGCTCCTTTCTTTTATCTCACTTTACTGGCAACATTCTCCACCAACGTCTGTATTTCCCACAGACCCCCTCAAAGAATGGGCTGTCTTAAATAAAGCTCCAGTGTACTCATGCAGAATGAGAAAGATAAGGCGAGACACTCCACTGCCTGAGCCTGCAAACTGAGGGGTGTGCGGCATCTCTCAGCCTGGAGTCAGCAACCAGCAACCTGCGAGCCCACATCAGCCAAACCAGAGACGGGAAGAGCAGACCGAGCTCGCTGGAGCCAAAGCGGGCAGAGCCATCCCAACCGCGGCCCACGGCTGCCCGGGCACGTGAGTGGGCTGAGCCACGCGCTGCATTTGGTGCGTGTGGTCACACAGATATACACGTCAGTGCCCATCAAACGTACACTCAGGATGAGTACACTTCACTTCACTAAGCTTCACTACAGTTAATAAAATGAAATAATAATAACAATAAATCTGCAGTCCCTGAAACAACATCCCAATTGGTGCAGGCAGGGAGGCTGCAGCGGTTGTGGCAAACTGTTAGTGACTCTGGACCCCAGGCCAGCCAGGCCCACCTCCTGCAGGGTGGCCGCACACAGCTCGATGGCAATGTACTGGAACTGCCGGTCCCGCTCCGTGCAGAAGTACCGGATCACGTTGGGGTGCTCGTCTGACTCTCGCAGCAGCTGGACCTCACGGTCTGCAAAGCTGAAACACTCGGGAAGGATCCTCTTCACAGCCACATCGCGACTGTCAAACATGCCCCTGCAGGAAAGGAGTGGCAGGTCTGTGTGGGGAGCGCAGGTCGGGCTGTAGGGACAAGGTGAGACCCACGGACCCACAGGGTTTCACCTCGCAGCCTCACAGCACAAGCCCGACCCGCCAGTGCGGCCCGGGGTCGTTCCTCCTCTCTCGGCGTGTGCGCTCCCGGGACTCACTTGCCTTGGTCGCTGCTTTGGTCCTCCTGTGCCCCCAGAGGCCGGGACTGGCCTGCCACCCAACAGACACTGGCACACCTCACGGGGGCATGGGACTGGCTACCCCGCTCACCGGTACACAATGGTGCCCTCAGCTCCGTGGCCTAGCACATCTTTGGGGCAGAATGAAATTTTTCCAACTATCACCATGCTGGTTTCCTCATCTGGGGAAAAACATGAGACAGAAGAGATCATTTTAAACAGCGATTACCTAAGGAACTTCAGGGCTAGGCCAGGCGTGTGGCACACGCCTATAATCCCAGCACTTCGGAGGCTGAGACAAGAGGATCGCTGCAAGTTCGAGGCCATTTTGGGTTACAAAGTGAGTTCAAGGCCAGCCTGAACTGCATAGTGAGACCCTGTCTCAAAAAGACAAAATAACAGCAACAACAAAAAATACAAAACCCTTCAGGGCTAAAAATGGCTTCCTGACTTCTAATTAAAGGTTGGGAAGTTGGGATTTAAGAGGCTCCACGTGCCAGACTCTAGGAGGACATAGTGGGCTGCGTTCACTGCCAATTTATGCCCAGGGCTGCCGCCTCCTCCCCCGTGTCTTGTCCCTGTCCCTGGATTCGGTCTCTGATTTTACATTACTGTGAGAATGCACGTCTTGAAACCTTCCCGAGGACAGGGCTCTCCGTACAGTCACTCAGCGCTAGGCAGTGATTAGCAAAAAAAGTGAAGCTTCACCTTAAAGCTCTGCCCCTGAACACTGCAGTGGAGACGGTGGACATGTAAAGTAAAGAGACCTTTTGGGACCTGGGGCTCTGGGGCCCCTACACAGTCTGTGTCAGTCCCCGCAGAATGCGAGCCTTGACCTCTGGCCTCAGCCAACTTCTGAAAGTGGATCGCAGCTGCTCTTTTCCACTTAGCCACAGGCCGGCCTCGGAATTTTTACAAGCCTGATAGGTAGGTAGCTCCCCTGGGTCAGCAGCGGTTCCCAGCACTGCGGGGAAGGATGGAAGGAGCACCAACATGACCTGAAAAGTCCCGGGGGGACAGGCCACACGATGGGACGGCAGCCCCGCCCACGGGGAGCCACAGGGTGGGAGGAAGTCAGGGGAGGCCGGTGAGTCCTTGCGAACAGCCCTTCTAATCTCGTGGGGTCACCTCGGAAGGACATGGTGCTCTATGGTTTTCGTGCAGTAGTCAAAGTAAAGATAAAACAGCACAGAAATGGCAAGAGGCTTTACCCTCGTCGTCCTGCTCCAGGGAGGCGCTGGTACCAGCCTTGGAGGCAGAGCCGTTGGAATGCAGTGAGTGGTTGGAGGCTCTGGGGGACGGGCTGGGGCTGCTGGTCCCTGAGCTCTCTGAGTAGGGGCTGGATGTGTCCAGCAGCTCGGGGTCCTGCGTCGACTCTCCGGGTGGGGGGAAGGGCAGCTGCTGCTGCTGCAGGAGCTGGATTTTCTCCAGCTCCTTCTGGAACTGCTGGTGCTGGAGCTGCCGCTGCTGGTGCATGCTCTGCAAAGAGACACCTCAGTCAGGCTTCGTGGTGTTCCCTCCGGGAACCCGGCCTGGGAAGGGGCAGCTCCCCATGGCGTAAGAGGCAGATGACTTCAGATGACCTCCGAGTCACAAGGACACCGGCGAGCCAAGTCAGTTGGATGCTTGCAGTCCTTCTGCCAGTTAGGCCCCTCCTAGTACAACACGTGTGCAAGCCTGGCCGGGCCTGCTCGGGGATAAACCACGGAAGGGCCAGAGACTCTGCCCTAGGTGCAGGGCTAGGCCCCGTGACGGGGGCTGGAGGTGAATAATTTAGAATTCCACAACTTTTATGGAGTCTGCGAGGGGGTTTAAAAGTGAGCTGCATGGAAGGAACGGCCAGTCCCCAGTGGGTAGCAGCAAGCCACTGCCCTGCACGTGATGAAGCTGGCAGGTGCCCGGCAGACCAGAAGCAGATAGCAAGTGGGGTTCAGAAGCCTGTTGCCACCCACCCACAGACGTGGCCGGGACGAGCGGTGGGGCTCAGGAGCCTCGCCCAGGGACCTGCCCGACTCCATCCCCTGCCCCCTCAGCCCCTCCTCTCCCAGACTCCGAAAGGTCTGCCCATCGTCACTAGACGCGGCACCAGCCCGGGATTATTCCACTGAGGCGTGGGAGGCTGGCTAAAGGGACTGGGGCGTAGCCCCTGGGGAGACTTCTAGCGCGTGCTTTCTCTGCTCACGTCCTGGACACACCACACACCAGGAAGGTACTTAGCTGCTCAGAGCCTGCTTTCTTCTACTGCGGACAGCAGGTAAGTAACAGCCTCCAGGACCACGGAAGTTACACAGAACCACCTCTGCCGCAGAAAGCAAGCGCATAAAGGCTCTGCCCTGCGTCCCACAGGGGCCGTGTCTGAGCGCTGCGTCCTGAGGGCTAACACCGCAGTGCATAAGCAACCTGCGGGAGGGACAGTGTCTCGTCACCACCACCTCCCCAGCCACACACTGCTCGCCTGCTAACTGCCGCGGCCCTCCCGCTGGCTCAGCAGGCAGTTTGAGGGAAGATGCTCATCTATTATTCCCATTGTTAAAAAAGAAGATGGAATTCACTATTCACAATGACCTGTGAGCAGGTTTAAAAATTACCTTTTCCAGCCTGTTTATCGAAAAATACTAAGACTTAGGTTCACAACTGTCCTTTCCCGAGGAGCTCTTCAGCTGCAGTGTTTCTGAAGATAAGCAAACACTGACCTCTAAACATGAAAAGAAACGCGTTGGCCGTTTTCGCCTGACGTCACTGACAGGGGACGGCAGACCGCTCAGGAGGAAGCAGGAAGGGTGAGGGAGGGCCGGGCCTTACCAGCGGGTAGGAGATGACGAAGGCCACCCAGCCGACCAGGAGGAAGGTGCTCAGGATGATGGTGGCCATGTCCTTGAGCATGGAGTCCACAGGGGCCTCAGGCTTGGCGGCGGCGCGAGCCAGCTTCTCCTCCACATCCTGAGACACGGTGGCGGCCGCGTTTTCTGAAGGCTGGTCAACCAGGTTGATAACCTTGGATGGAGAAAGCCACTACATCACTGAAGAATTTTTAGCCAGATACACATGAACTGAATGATCAAGAGAAGTAACCCCGTTTACTTCTTTTGGGGAAACTGAAACGATCTGTATAAGCTGGTAAAAGTTGGTAGTCACTTTGACAGTATCTTTTCACGCAGAAAAAGAAAGCTGCCTGCATGTGCAGGCACGTGCTATAAAGTAATGCAGCCCTCTTCTCGTAAGCCCGTAAACTTCCAGCGCAACTCCAAAACTAAAATCAACTATTCAAGAATTCTACTCTTTCCAAAGGTTTTAAAAGGCATCAAAAAAAAAAAAAAAGCATCAGAAAGTATTTAGCCTTTGCTAAGGAAAATTATATTTAGAGGCCCCAAATTAAATCAAATAAAAAGGAAGCCCTCTCCCCAGAATCTCTGGAGCTTCATGGAGTATATACAGAGACTGAGAGAGACAGGCTCTTGCTATGTAGTTCAGACTGGCCTTGAGCTCACTATGTAGCCCAGGCTGGAATTATAGGGATATTCTACCATGCCTGGTTTCTGTGACTTTTTAGAAAGATGTATTGATCTCTTCCAAACACCTAGTGTTCCAGGCAGGTTGTTAAGTGTTTGCCTGAAAAATTAACACAGCCCCCTGGTCATGCACTGATTTACCGCCCCCTGCGGCACTGACACCCCACATTAATGCCTCTCAAGCCATTCCCTCCCAGCCCAGCGGCTCCGGAGCCCTTCTGGGTCCATCCTCCTCTGTTCACACCTCCCTCAGTGTCTCCCACAGTTTGACAGGTATGGCCTGCCTGGTGCACAGCAGGCTGAGGAATGCCTGCTGAGTATAGGACAGGGGTAACGCTCCTTTAGAGATACCTGCTCAGAAGCGTTTAAGAAGTCAGTCTCACTACCATAAAGTTATAGCTGAGAATATTTTGACAGATTTTTAAAAAGCTATTTTAAGATCAGATGGTTAAATATAAAACTCTGTATTATGAGCTGGGCATGGTGGTTCAGGCCTGTAATCCCAGCAATCTGGGAAACTGGGCAGGAAGACCGAAAATTCAAGCCCAGCCTGGGCAATTTAGCAAATTAGCAAGAACTTGTCTCAAAATAAAAATCTGAGTCAGGCATGGTAGTGCACG